TTGTATGTCTACATGTAGACAACATATTGATTATGGGCAATAGTTACGAAATAATCATACAAACCAAGAAAATGTTAACGAAACATTTTGACATCAGTGTGAATGATTTCATATAGGGATTAAGATCTCTAGAACATTTGAAGAAATTGTACTTTCTCAATCTCATTATGTTGAAAGTGTACTTAATAGATTTAATGTACTTGAGGACAATCCTGCGAAAATCCTATTGACTTAAATTTGTATTTAATCAAAAATATGTGTAAACAAGTGTCACAACTAAAGTATTCACATGTCATAGACAAACTAATGTACATTATGAATTGCACTTGACCGAATATAGCATTTGCTGTGAATAAACTTATTAAATTCACAAATAATCCAAACTATGATCATTGGAAGGCTTTGACTAAGGTTCTTAAGTATTTAAAACATATCTTAACTTTTGGATTTCACTTCACAAAATATCTTGCAGTATTGGAAAGATATTGTGATGTAAATCTACTAGTGGTTATGTATTTACTATTGGTAGGGCAGCCTTGTCATGGAAGTCTATAAAGCAAACTTTTATAGCTCGATCAACGATGGAATTGAAGTTTATTGCTTTGGTTATAAGCATGTGAAGAAGTAGAATGACTTCGTAACTTTTTAGAAGACATTCTATATTGGCCTAAATCGGTATATGCAATAAGTATACATTGTGATAGTCAATCGACAATTGGAAGGGTACAAAATAGAATGTATAATGATAAGTCTATAATATATATCGTAGACATAATACCATTAAGAAACTGACCTCAAATGGTATTATCTCCATAGATTATGTGAAATCTTAGGATAACATCATGGATCTGCTTATGAAAGGCTTACCGAGAGATCAAACATGTTGCCTATTAAAAGAAATAGGATTAAAGCTTACTATGTAAGAGTCTTTGTTATGGTAACCATACTTTGTTGACTGAAGATCCCAAGATCTTAGTTCAATGGGACAACTAAGTTATGAATATTCAATCAAACACTTATAACATTATTCCGAGTCATTCCTATGATATTGAAAGTGCTTTCTGCATAATGTGAAAATGTTAAGATATGCTTTTTATGATTCCTATATCTTGATTAACTCAAGTGGAGTAATGCAGAATATTCTTAATAGGTCACCTATGTAAATGTGAAATGGGGTCACTTCGATGAGAATTGTTTAAGGCTAAAATTCTCTAAAAACACTTATGAAACCTAAGGGTATTTCAGGGTCAAAATAAATATAATCTTGAGAACTAGAATGGCTTGGGGAATATATTTGTGTGATTATTGTTGTCTTGGTTTATACCAATGGCTAAATTGTTCAATACAATACATTCACCAATTAGCCAAGTAAATCCAATAGTATTTCACTAAGGAAGATTCAAGGCTGGATGCTACATCTCCCGATACATTGTTTTTCTGCTTTCTCTCTACAAGCATCTACATATCATTTGCATATTTGGAATCTTCATGCATGTGGAAAATTGTTGAAATTTGTTTTAAAAGAGATTAAAATTGGTTAAGTATAAAATCATGAAAATTGTAAAAAGTGAGTTTAGTGTCAACTTCGGCCAAATATTCGGACTTGATCTAATAGTCAAATTATGAAAATAAATAAACTAACTTGTCATACTCGTCGAATAGATGATCGTTATATATTTGAAATCTCAAAATCAAT